CTGGCAGCCTGTGCTTCAAACTGTGCCAGTGATGTTAAGTCTGGCCATGGGCTTCCATTTGGGTCAGGAAGCCAGAAGACTGTTTGAAACTTCAGTCTGAGAAAGATGGAAGAAAGTACCTAATTCTCTTTTTAAAGAAGAATAATAAAGGGACGGATATTTACCCTGGTGCTTTCTGAGCTCTTGTTGATGCCCCTCTATTCTACGCTGTCCACACCGTGCTTGTTTTAGGAGGTGAGGGAGTTCACTTAGGTGTGCGGGACTCTGTTTCTTTGCTTCCAGATAGCTGGTTTTGTTAGCAAAGGTGGTAAGAGATCGTGTGGAAAGCTGCAGGAAAGCTTCCTCAAGTAGCATCCTGCTGCTTCCAGCTCTGCCTGTCTCCCGAGGCGCTCCTGTAAACTGTTTCAGTCCATTTGGATTGCTCCATCAGTGCTGGATGAGACTGACTTATCTTCAGCTGTTTAAAGAAAAAAAATATGGTGAAAAATACTTTATTTCTTTGGAAATATGACTACTTCTGGGATTGGAAAACTTTGAACTTCTCTCCTGACAGCTTTATTTGTGAATGGTTTTTCAGTCTCTATTTTCAGCAGTAACAAACAAGCAAGTGAGTGTTTTGGCTGTTGTAAGCCCGTGTTACACCATCACTGCCTTTATCCCTCACTCAGATTGCACATCTCATGACTGTTGGAGTAGAAGAGGGGTTGTGAAAGAATAAATTTATTTAGTGCCGTGAGCTGTCTTGAAACTGGCTAGTCTTCAGCCTTCAGTACTTTCTAGCAGACAAATTCAGAGCTGCTGATACAGCTGTAATGCCTCCCCATCCTCTCTTCAGATAAGCTTTAGTATTTACCTAATATAGCCTAATTATGCAATAAATTCTTTTTGGCCTTTTGATCAGTGTTCAAATAACAGTGAAAGTGTGAATAATTTGCTTTGGAGAAAGGGATTTGAGAAGACTGAGAAACCTTTCACTGTTTTGGGAGGTGTTTCAGTTGGGATTTTTTCCTGCTAGTTCAGAAGGATCCTGTTTTAGGACTAGATGAGAAAAAGTTCTTTTCCTCTGCTCTGGAATCTCTGCTGCTGCTTTCACTTGCAGAATTGGATCTCCTTGTGTTGGCATTGTTTCTTAATTGCTGTACTGGGCCCAGTGTCAGGTTAGGCGGCTCAGTCTCTGCTGGTGCACTTGCCTCTGTGCTCCAGCTCCGCTGCTCACGTCGGATATTTAACCTTAAACACTGCCGGAGCCATTTATTTAAACAGGGTTCCCTTGCTGTCGTGGCCTGCTGTGTGGCACGTTCCTTGCAGCTGGAGCAATACCGGAAAGGATTTGTTGCGTGACAGTTTCCAAGATACTTGCAGAGGCAAAGACCATCTAGGAGACATCTAGATGGGATGGCTCTTATTTAACCATGTGGAATGACAGCTCGAAGGGCTGTTCTCCTTGCTATCCAGATCCAGGCATCATATATTCAGTGGCCCTGTCTCCATGATCTGGATCTTTCTACTACATTTGCCTCTTATTGCTGTCGCTCTCTGTGCCTGTTTCTCACTTCCCTGTAGAGTGCTTCTATAATTGGAGAGCTGCTCCTGGATCACAGAGTTTGAACTACAGCTGCCAGATGTCCCTTGTATTTGGAATTTCTGTCCGTTTAACAGTAGCAACAGGATGCAAGTCCTTGATTGTGAGTTGGCAGTAAGTAAAGACAAGATGACATTTTTGGCACTGTGGGGAAAAAAACTTCCTTTCAGTTAGAAGCAACCAGGAAAGTTATCAAGAAAAAACTTGGATATTGAATATGGTTCGGGTTTTTTGTTTGTTTGGTTTTTTCCTTTTCTTTCCCCCGACACATCTCCCTGTGTAGAAGGCAGAGGTTTTTTTAGTACAGCCAAGACCTGACCTCTTTCATTGCTTCCTTAAATACTGCAGGACTAGTTGATCTGAAGCAAACTGTCTTAAGGACGTAGCCTTGGTGCTCTGGCCTTCCCTGTACCTGGTGACTGCCTTCCAGGCTCTGAAAATGTCTTTGAAGGATAAATTGCAATCTCTTGTGCAAACCTGGCATGGTATGTTCTCCTTGGCATCCCAGGCAGATAGGTAATGGATTTGCGCTCTGTTCTGTTGTAGGACATGGTTCCTCACTGTATTCATGGAGTACTGCTTCTGGTTGAGAGAGATCTGACTTTTCGGATGGAGAAGCCACCAGCAGGACAGGTAATGGAACCATTCATCCAGGGGTTGCTGGGGAGCTCTTGATATCCTCTGTTTAATTCTCCGAACAGCGAGTTCTCTGTCCGCTGATGTATGTTTATTCTCACATGAAATCTCTGTAGTTGTTCTCTGTAGTTTATGGTTGTGGTCTCTTACGGGTGTGGTATTTATAGGGTTGTAAAGTTTATGCAAGCTGAACATATCTCTGTCACGCTGTGTTTATTGCCAAGTCCATCAGTGACATTTGCACCATAATTATGTCAGTCTGCCGGGGCCCTCAAGACACAGGGGGTTTGTTGGGAACGTGGATAGCTGTATGGAGGAGCCCTGCACAATTAACAGTAATAGAGATGCTTTTCACGTTCTCCTGTTAACAACGGGGGAAGTGCTTGGTCAGGAAGAGATCACATTAGGCTAAATCCTGAACTCCATCATCTGAAGGTACTTGTTGCCCTCCTGCATTTTGCATATTTCATGTTTCCTCTCCTCGCAGCTGCTGCTGACAGTGGCTAAGACTTCTGCAAAAGTGGGAAGAGGAGATGTGTGTGTGTGTGTGTGAGGTTCCTTTTGCAGCTGAAACGTCTGGGAAGACTAACAGGAGGTGCTAATGGAGGAGGGAAAATCATCACAGCATCACTGAACACACCCACTAGAAGTAAATCTGCCTTGGTATTCCATAGCTGTATAAGAAATGTAGGCTCTCAGCCACTCTTTGTCTGTGGTGAGCGAATAGAGCATCGGACTGCATCTTAGTCATCTCTCTCTGCTCTAAGACTGTTACAAGCTACAAGAGTGGACTGAAATTCTGTGCCTGCCAAAACCCCGTAGACTTCAGAGTAGGCCAGGACCTCCCTTCTGGCTCCTGTGGATGAAGACATTGTGACTAGCATCAGTTTTGCTGTGTGTGTGGTGTGCTGCGCTGAAAGGCTAAAGAATAACAAATGCTATTAGTCCTTTTCCTCATTGCCCCCATGTGGAAGAATTTGAAGTGAGAAAGGGGGCTGCAGGCATGTACATGCAGGGAGAGCTACAGAAGATATTAAACACATTGAATAAATCCAAAGTACGTAGGAGGGAGCAGAGCAAAGGCTAATAAAGACACGGGCATGCGGGAGGAATTGGAAGCATCATCGCTATTTTGTAAGGAGGTGGAAACTTCACAGTGTGTGGGGGTTAAATGTCTGCACCTGAGTTCGTGGTGTCTGGGCTGGCTTCCATGTACCTGCAGGAGCACTTGTCTGTTTCTCTGGTGAGTACAAAAATGCTCTGAGGTCCTACAGACTCACAGAAGGCGAGTTAACTGTGTCAAGATCCAGGAAACACTTGGAGCAAATAGCTGCTGTGATGAGTGGAGAGTTGAGGGTAGGGCAGAGGCTGCTCTGTTAGACTGTTTTTTCCAGGAAGCGAGATGAGGAAGCTGAGGGCTGGATTTAACCTCTCAGGCTCTCCAAACAAATGCAAATTGCAGCACAACGTGGGAACATATGAGGGAGTTGCACTGCTCATGCTAGGAGGTAGTGGCTGGGGAGAAGGCTGGCTGCTGCCAGACTTCCTTCACAGATGTTCTCCTTGGTGAAACAGCGTGTTGTGGCCTGCATTCCCTCAAGGTTCGCCCACTAAGCTGTACAGCAAGCTGCTCTAAGATTGAATTTATTTTTTTTTCCTTCATACTGTAGTTATATTGCAGATATACGCTGTGTGCCTTGTTTCTATGCAAGATAGATAAAGAAATAAAGGATGCTGTCTTTCATTTACCTTCCCCTCCTTCTCCAATACTCATACCCTAATGCAAATGTGCTTTTATTTCTTCTATTCTTGTGCAGTTTGAACTTCTCACCTCCATGAAATCCCTCCATAAGCACATAGACAGCTCACAGCTGCCTCTAGAACTGGATGGGACCTTCCCTTATTGCCACCGGGACTGGTTAAGCTTCCGCATGGTGAGTAGGATGTCTTGTGTTCTCTGAGTATCTGAGAGAAGTGGCATGGTAACGGAGTTGAAGCAAGAGAGGCTTGTCAACAGCTGAACCTACAAGCATTAAAAGACAATGGTTCCTGTAATAACTATGTATGCAAATGAACCTCTGTAATCAAAAGAATACTAATGCTGTCTTCATAAAATGGATGCACACTGCGACCTATTGGCATGACTGCAAGAACTAAAATCTTAGTTTTTAACTCATCTGCTTGAATTGCATTAATTCAGATTTGACCATATTTTGAAGGGAAGGAAGAAACAAAATCCTGTTTTGTTGTGATACAGTGGCATTTCGGTTATACTTTGAGGCTTAAGGGCAGACGCTTCTTGTGCTAATCTCAGGAGAAGGTGTTAGTATCGTGTTGCCTTTGAACTAACAATCGAGCATAATTACATATAAATACGATGAACATAATTGAGCATAATAAAAATAGTTAGATCCTGTTGGTTTTGGAGCAGGTTCCCCAGACCAGGCTAAGAGCTCCTTAGTAAAAACTGCAATCCTGGCAGGAGTGAAACTTGGAAGTTCCTGATAATCAGTTCAGATCCTTCTAGGAACGTTGTCTTCTTCCTCCTTTAGATATAATTCCCTTACTTACCAAAGCTGTCATCAAATTTGAACTCTTTCAAAAGCATCTAAACTAAAAATACAGTGAAGCTTCAGCCCAGGGGAACATTGTGTTCTCAAGTGGCTAGCTCTCAAAGAAGGCGAGGAAACAAAAGAAACATGCAAATTCCATTCAAGTGAGTCTTAGGACCAAGATAACATTAGGAGGCAGTACCAGCAATCCGTTCCTTCTCCCTGTTGTTTGGCTGCTTTGAGTATGCCTCGGTACTGTGATCCTGTTTGACCTTTGTGCTCCTCTCCAGAAGAGTCGTGGATCAAGAGATCTACAGTGAACTATACCCAGGTGCAGATTAGAGCCAGCCCAAGGTGTAGGGAGGCTGGCCACCCTGAGCTGACCCAGGTTAAGCCTCGGAGATACAATGGCTGAAACTGCAGCACCCAGACACAGTTTATAAAGAAGGTAGCCCTGGCAAAGGGTGCTGCAGGCACCAATAAGGAGTACTGCAGCCACCAAGGCAGTACACACTGTGTACTTTCCTGCTTCCGTGGCAGGACTGCAGGTATTGCTGGCCATGCAGCAGGGTATGTGCAGACTGCCAGAAGTCTGCAAAAGAAGCATCAGTGGTGCCAATACCCAGCTCTGTGTACACTCATGCTGTGGAGGGAGCATAAGTCCTGTGGATCATGAGCTTGTTGAATCTTTAAAAGCTGTATTGAGAGTCATTTGGCATGTTGAGACTAGACAGGATTAAATCTCTGAAAATCTGCACACAAATTGTCTGTCTTCACGTTGAGCTTGACTTGCTCACCATGGTGGATGACAGAACCATCATCTCTGCTTCCGAAAGATTCAGTGGTCTTTTGGCTCTGACCTCACTGCCCAGAGTGCTGTGTGGCACACTGTGGCATTTGAAGCGGGTTAAGGTATCATTGATAATACCGCTGTGTTGCTGGTGGCAAGCTTCAGCAGTTAGGCTTAGCACGTGCCAAATGTTAACTTATCTTTTCCAACTTACTTTAGAACCCATTTTTTAAACTTTCATCTAAAAGTACTAGTATGAACCTGTGCTGATGCAGAAGAGGTACAGAAGCCTAATCTTGGTGCCTAGGATTGAATTTGAGGTTTGTTTGGCAGTGAGGAAGCAGAGAAACTTTGCAAGAGGTTATGGATTAGTTTTCTGTCCAGAGTTGAGGGAAGCTTGAGAGCTGAGGTGCTCTGTGCAGAAGGATAATTCTTGAAGGAAGGAGCATGACATCAGACTACTTCTTGTTTGTGTCTTGCATATTAACATGCAAAATATTACCAAAGGGAGTTAGTGTAGGAATCAATCTGTATGGGTTGCCTATTTATACGATGTACTGTGTGATAATGACCCATACGCTCAACCCCTTTAGATCTCCAGCTATATGGCAAACAGCATTTGTTTCCTGTCTGTGATCTCACCTGCATCCTGCCTGCTAATCTGTCACTGCTGGGGCCGGTCCAGCACTCCAGGGAGGAGGGAGTTCACTTCAGTAAAGATTCAAACAGCTGCTTGTTTTGTTTTGTTTTGGAATAGCTGTTTCTCCCTTCTCTGATTTCAGTGCTAGAGGGGGCAGTATTTAGGCTTTATATCACTGAATTTTTAGAAAAGTACTGTCTCATGAACCTCTGAAATGTTTGGGGGGGGGGTTGGGTCATGTCCTGTGTCCGCCTGTCCCTCCAAAGAGAGGAGGGATTTCAGATTTGTCAGTAGTTTAAGGTGCTTAATTGTGGAAGCTTTCCACTTTCCTAATCTTTAATTTACACTACTTTTAATATGAAGAGAAATGATTTAAAGTAGAGAAATTCCAAGTACTCATTCTATGTACTGTTCCTCCAAAATTCATGCATAGTGATTCATCTTAGTGGGAAGTTACAAGAAATGCTAATAGTAGAAGAATGTGGGACATAAGTGGACTGATTTTTCTTTTCTGTAAAGCATGATCCATACAAGCCATGAGTACGCAAGTTTATAAAGTCTGCATAGAGGCTTTAGTATAGCGTGATGCATCTGAAGCCTCTGATGGGCCTCTCTTTGCTGATACAGCCTCACCAAATGGTATAATTGAACCCTTGGGTTAATGTGTTTGATCATCTCTTGATTTCTCAACCTGAAAAGACAGCTTTCCTGTCAGCCGTGAGACAATGATCTCTGCCTTGGTCCTTTCTTCTTGCAGAAGCTGGAACATTTGCTACAAGGATGCCAAGGTGCTTGTGCCTTCCTCCAGGGAGCTATTCACAAAGTGGAAGCTGGAAAATTACCAGAAAGAGCTGAGGTAAGCATGTCCCTCACCTCGTATCAGAGGTGGGCCTGAGACAGAAGAGAGCAGGAGGCTGGATAGCTGCAGAAAAGCTGTAGCTTTGAATTTGCAAGCTGTAGTAGCATGGTATTCCGAGTGCTGTGTGTCACTGCAGACCTGTCAGGACAGCGGGACTAGTAGAAGCTAATCCAAATGAGGTGATAGAGGCTCCACTGGGTGTAGAAGCTGGTTCTCTGATCCCTCAGCGTCACCCAGGAGATTTCCTCTTCAGCTGTGCTTGTTGCTGATGTTCCACAGCTCTGTAGCTGGTACTAGCTTTGGTGTCACTAGTACTGAGCAGCTGCCTCAGTACACCAGGTTGGCTTGAATGGCTTGGAGTAGGTGACAACATAGGCAGTGTTCACCAGGCCAAGGCTGTGCTGTGGTTCCAGCTTTGCTGCCTCCAGAACAGAAGTTTGGAAGTGGGCAAGAAGAGGAGGGTACAAAGACCGAGCCTGTGTTGTTGCAAACATTACATTCCCCCGCTCTTGAGAAGCTGCTGTACCCCTGGCATGGTAGGAAATTGCTGCCAGCTCTGCACTGAGGGTCCCAACAGTAAAGCAATATCGTAGTGGCAATATCGTAGTGGCAATATCGTAGTGGCAATATCGTAGTGGCAATATCGTAGTGGCAATATCGTAGTGGCAATAAGGAGCGCTGTTTATCACTTTGGACTTGACAGGCTTGAGAGAAACAGCTGTGGGAACCAACCTCCCTCTCTCCTAGGGTGGGCCAAGGGGAGATGTGGTTTGTGTGTGTTTTGGGTTGGGTGCTGGTTTTTGCCTGTTCCCTCATTGCCTGTAGGTTGCAGTAACTGCTCTCTCTTGCGATCCCTCCAGGAGGCAGCTGTGCTGCTGAGGAATTACAGGCAGTTGATGAAGAACGTTCTTGAAGATGCACGGCTGGTCAGGCTGCAGCTGGAGGGTGGAGCGCTCCTGGCCAGACTGAGGAAGGAGGAGTCTTGTGTCACCCTCACCCACGACTACAGGTGAGCCCCAAGAGTGGGAGAAGAGGAGATGGAGATGAGCAAAGAGCAAGCACTGGGAGTCTCTGTGAGATGACCCATCATTGGTACAGGCTAGAGAGCAGCTTCATGTAGCGAGGACTTTTGTTGAAAACAACAAAGGTGAAAAGCGTAATGAATTTTACTTTTATCCTGACTGCTTCTTCCCCAGTCCAAAAACCTGCCTGGGTGGATTCACTTAGATGGTTAAAGTTCCTTTTCCAAGCCAAATCAGACTTACCTTCTGTAGTGGAGAGAGGGCTGGATATTTTGTGCACCTCTAAAACACAAGTCTTAATTGATGATGCCAGTGATGAAAGTTTAGGTCCAAGGCATTATTGCTGTGTGATTTACCAAGGCACTCCTTATGCAAGGGGATTTCCAAGGACCTAACTGCGAGGAATGCTTTCTGGCTGAAGCAAGCTCTGATTTGCTCGCACAATGGTATGGTTTGCACAAACAAATATTCACTGCCCGTTTGCAGAATTGGTATGAGAAGTGGGGACTGAGAGAGGCCAGCTGTTTGAAATCCCTGGGGCGTTGCACAACTCCTGTTTGTAGTGTTAAAACACCTGAAGCCTATCAGCGTGTGAAGGCCTCTGTGCTATGTGCTGTACAAACAGCAAAGTAGAAAGACAGCCCTTGCACCCAGGAGCTTCCAGCCCGAGTGCGAGATAAATGCTGGTGTGTGGGTACCGATGGGGGTGTAGTCTGATGGCCGACTGGTGTTGGAATGGCTCCGTGCGTCTGCAGCCTTGCTCTGGTTAAACTCTCTGTTGCCATCGCACGCTGGGAGGTTTTAAGGGAGGGAATGGAGAGAAGATAACAAAATAGCTTGCAGGCTATCTCACCCAAACACTGAGAAAAGAAAAACACTTCTCTTTGAAAATTCAGCAAGTGGATGACAGTGCAAGTTGCTGCCTGTCACTGGGAGATGGGGGTTGGCATTTTGGTGCTGAGTGAGAGGGGAGTGTGGGGACAGGTGTAACCATTTCTTTTCCCTGCTTGCTGTGACTGCTGTCAGCAGCTCTGGCAGGCCATGCAGATGGAATTTTCTTGCTGAAGTGGGGAAGTACTCTTGATGCAATTGTGGGTAGAATTAGTACAGTATAGCCTTTTGATTCTGACATGATGTGAGAAGCACAGAGAATGCGGGTGGTTGTGTTTTGGTTTTGTTTTGGGTTTTTTATTTTATTTTAAGCAACACACAGCAACTTTAGAGACTTAGGAGAATGGGGAGAATGTGCATGCTTTTTATGTTTTGTTTTGGTTTTAAGCTAAGCCTGTGTTCTTGTGCAGGGAAATGATCAACTTTGAAACCTGATCTGACAGAGCCCCTAAGGATAATTTACTGCTTTGATTACCTTAGCAAGGGCAGGGGCGGGGCATACACACATAATTCTTTGATTGCACAGTGTTTGAGCGCATGCCAAGGCTGTGTAGCATGTTCTCTGTTTAATTCAGGTTATATTCGTTGCCTGCCAGTATGAATGGAGAGTGTATGCTACGGGTCAAATATATGTGGCTCTCTCCAGCCTGAGGAGCGTAAATGAATAGATTGGGAGAAAGTTTAGTCCTCTTCTAGCCTGTGGAGCAGTTGCAGAAACTAAAATCCATGCAGTATTTTAATTGAGGAAGTGCCTCCTTGTCAGGTAACTCGGGGCAGAGGACTAAAGAAGTCCGCTCTTC